GCAGGGATAGGCCTTGGAAACCTCCTGGTAAATGAATTAAGCCAGACACAGAGGGACAAATACCTCTTGAGTTATGTGAGGCACCTGCAGTGGTCACGTTTGTGGAGACAGACAGTAGAGTGGTGACTACGAGAGGCTGGGAGCGGAAGGAGTAGGGAGTTAATACTGAATGTGGCCAGGGTTTCAGTTTGGGAAGATGAAAAAGTTCTGGACATGGATAACAAGTGATGGTTGTACAATTTTGCAACTGTACTTTATCTCACTGACTTGTATTCCTAAAATGGCTAAAATGGTAAATCTTATGTTCTGTGTATTTTATCAAATTAAAACAAAGACTAGGAATTAAAAACACATAATATTATTTATATCTCTCATTCTTAAATAGAACCAGCTGTAAAGGAATTTCCATACCATTTGCCCATCTTTTATCTCTGTTACAGTTTTAGCTACTTTCTAATAAGTATATACTGTTATAATGTTTGAGTCAAATCCACAGGTATGGGTGAAACTTGCTGTACCACCTTAGTCAAACTGACATTGGAAGAACCAGAATAATTTTGCATGAAATAATGCATGTAATAAATTCCAAACTCTCATGTTTTATTATTTAATTGAAAGAAATGTTATTACATGCCACAACATGGCTGACTCGTGAACACAGTGAATGAACCAGTCACAAAAGACTACATCCTATATGATTAAATTTATATGAAATTACCAAGGTCATGACACTTAGAGAGGTAGAAAGTAGACTAAGGTTTTTTAGGGATGAGCAGGTAATGCAATAAGAGGAAATGGAGAGCATCTGCTAATGAGTACAGAATTTGTCTTGGGATGAAAATGCTCTAAAATGGGGCTGGGGATTTAGCTCAGCGGCAAAGCGCCTGCCTGGCAAGCACAAGGTCGTGAGTTCAGTTCCCGGTACCGGAGAAAAAAAAAAAAAAAAAAAAAAAAAAAAAAGAAAATGCTCTAAAACAAGATCATGATGGCAGTTGTACAACTCTATGACTATACTACAAAAGATGGTTTGCTTATTTTGAAAGGGCAAATTGTACAGTATATGAATTAGATCTTAAGCTATTTTAAAATTATTCCCAAGGAATATGGTTTATTTTCTTTCTCCTTTTTCTTTGAAGTATTTTTTTCACTTTATCATATAACTTAGCTTAACTGAAAACAACATTGTATTGTATAAATTTATCATTTTAAAGATAATATACTTCATAAAAAAGCTATAGTCTAAGAGGATTTTGATTAATAACTAACAATATGAGTGTAAAGGAATTTCAATATGCATATTAAAATATTTTATATCCTCTCATATACTGAGATTTTTTTAAGCCAGCAGTATATTTATGCAAAACCAAGTAGACTTCGATGATTCATTTGATGACAGCAGTGCAGTAAAAATGAAACTTAGCAATTCTTTTAAAAATTTTCTCCTTGCATAGGATTGCTTTTTAATATTAAGCTTGGTTTCATTCATTTCAGTTTGGTTTTCCTTCATATTTAAAATTCAGGACAAAAACCAACAAAGTGATGTTATTAACACTTCATCCGAAGAGAATACTATGCAGTAGCATGGGTTAGAAACACTGTCTTACTGGTGGTGTTAGCCATTCTCCAGTCTCTACCCATAAAATTGGCATCTATATTTTAAGTAGCTTGGATATATCAAACTTAAATTATGAAGGACCTTAAATTAAAATAGATACTGTTGTCACCCAAATTACTCAAACACACTTCGCTCAGACAGCCCTGCTCAGACAGGCTGCAGTTCATCTCAGAACTAAGTGCTCCTTTGCTGTTGGTGAACCTGGGCCCCACACATTGTTTCCAAATTGCCTCCATAAACAAATACCTTGTGCCTCCAATCTGAAGCTCCAGCAGACCTTTAGAAATGCAACCCACTTTGAGGCGACCTTTAAAGTGTCTTGATTTTTACTTTTGTATACATTTACTTATTTTTTAGTCACATAACGTGTGTGTGTGTATATATATATATATATATATATATATATATATGTTATTTGGTGGCATTGATCTCCAGGTTTTTTTTTTTTGAGATACAATCTCACTTAGTTGTCCAGGCTAGGCTTGTACTTGTGATCTTCCTTCTCAAACTAGAGTTCTGGGATTACATGTGTATGCCACCATGCCTAGCTGGTTATAATGCTTTTTTACCTGCCTGAATATATTTATTTGCCTGCCTTAGCCAAACCGGACTATTACTAATTCCAAATTTACTTTCCTATCAAAAAGTAAATATATTTTACTTTGATTTTTTTGTTATTATTCAGTGAAAACCTATACAAGCACACTATATCCCATTAATATACGCAGTTTTATGTCAATTAAAAATAAAGTTTTATAAATCCAAAGAAATAAATGTATTAAGATATCTTTTCTTTGTGTGTTGCTATAATTGTTACCTGTCTCTATACTTAAACATTTGCTAGTTACTTAGGATAACAGCCATTGTGGAGCTCCAGAGAGAGGTGTAAAATATAATTTCCACCCTTGCAGAGCATTTAGTCTTGGAGATTCATTATCACAGTGCCAGGCAGAACCAAGTAAACACTTCAACAACACCAGGGACAGGTTGCTGAGGAATCGTAGCAGAATAAGTTTTGGCAGAGTGAAGAGAGCAAAGGTTATTCTTAACCAAGAGAGCTGAGCGAAAAAGTGACTAGAAGAAGAAACAAACACAGAATATAAACTTTGTCTCTCCAGGGTTCATTAATCTCTGTTAAGTCTTGATTCTGTTAGTGGCAGAAACATAGACTTTAACTGAGGGGCATGTTTATTTTTTGTGTTCTGGTGCCTACCATTACACAGTTGCAAAGTCTGTAGGATGAAGCTAAAGGTAATTACTGGTGGAAGTCTTAGTTTGAGAACCAAAGAAGAAAAAAGCCACCACATACACCGTACTTGTTTGCGATTAGCGTTTTAATTTGCTTGCTGGCATCACTCACAGGGCCCAGCTGCCCCTGCTGCAGTATCCTGTTTACAGTAGGCAGCCACCCTGAGTGTTTCCAAGAGAAATTGCTCTGCCCTGGGGCCCCAAGTCTGGGGAGGTACCCCGGGTTTATGTTATACAGATCTGTGCAGGGTGTCTTGCCTTCACATGGTAGTTAGGGAACTAGCTTACAGAAAAGTTATGAAATTGTGTCAGCACAAACCTTAATTACCTTCTAAGGAAAAAGACTATCAGGTAATGTGTAATTTACATATTGCGTACTTACTACCTAGGCATATACTGGATTATCTTCAACTATTTCACAACAGCCCTGTATCTCTATAAAGGAGTTAATACTACTATATTCACTTTGTATGAGAAATCCAGGGCATAGAGACTAACAGCAAAGTTTAATTTTACAAAGTCTGTTATGTGTTATGATGTCATTTCTCACCATAGTAGATACACTTAAAGTCACTTGACACTGTGAGTCCTGCCACGTAGTACAATTATTTTTATTAAATGTTTTGGGGAATCTTGGAAAACCTGTAAGTCAGAGAATCGTAGCTAATAACAAATATATTTACTGAAGAGAACAAAATAATAAGGGTTACGCTGCCTCATATACAGTATACCCTGAGTAAGAATATGAACAGCCTGCTAAGTACCCAGCCCAGAAAGTGTGTTTAGTTATTGAAATCCATTCATTCTCATTCATTTTCTCTCTCTTCTTCCTCTCTGTCTCTGTCTGTCTCTTTTCTACTACCTATTAAACTAAACTCCATTTCCACTGTAGTACAAGAGAAGGTATAAAGGACTGCTATTAAATAATTTTATTTAGTAGTCTGAATTTCTTAGTGAAAAGGATTTTATTTAAAGAGCAACTTAGTCACTCCTGCTACTAAGGGGTGACTGATACGAGTGTGTTTCTCTGTGTCCACTTTGGTAAAAATGCTAATATTTACAGTCAGTGAAGAGAAAATGGAGAATCAAAAGGCAAAGTGGATCCATGTACATGACTGACTATTGAATAATTAAGAAGTAACTGTATGGAGTTAGCAGGCGCTTTGATTCTACACGATCCCTCCAAATATTTTAAGGATGAAATGAGATATCAGATGTGAAAAGTCACTGGACATGTGCAAGTTATTGAAGAGTAGCTCCTGTTTGACCTTTTTATCACTAATGTTGGTTCTCCCCCTCCCTCTTTCCCTCCCTCCCTCTCCGTCTCCTTGATTGATCACCTGACAGCTTATACCAGGGAAGAACTAAATGGGTCACTTTTCTTCTTGATTGCAAAGATGATTAAGTTACCCGGCTCTACCTTTGCCACTCTTTTGTATCTTCTTGTATCCTCAAAGGAATATTTAAACACCACATTTCCCAATATGTTTCACTTAGATTTCCTCTTTCTGACTTTCTAACATAAATTCTTCATCCTTTCTGCTCCTCCATGCACAGGTGAATTGGCAGGCTTCATTATCTGGTCATGTGCCTTTTGCACAGTAAATATGCAAAAACATACGTGACCAGCAACTCACTGAAATGGGAAAAAAGAAACAGTGAGCCGTGGGCTGTGCATTCCTTTTTGTCTTACAGTATTTTTTTTAAAAAGTGTCGGCCTGAACTTGAAACTTTCCCTATTCAAGCACACAGGATGATGAGGTCTCTATTTAGTTTCTTCAAATACTGCTGATTCTCCTGCTAACATAACAAGAAAACTTGGAGGTGAAAAAGGACGGTGTTGAAAGTACTCAAAGATCTTTTTGCTCATTCGGCATTGCTTGATTTTATCTTTGCTTTGTCGTCTACGAGACACAATGGGCATGTGATAATTCTTCTGGGGAATCCAAGGAAAGGGAGTCTGAATTCCCAAGAATCATCCAAGAATTTTGCAGCTGATGCTGACTTCAGCGCTTTGATGACGGGTCCGTTTTTAGCGCTGTCTATCTATTTGCTTGTAGTTGTACGTGTTGATCTGAGGGAAACCACTCCCTGATTTAGTGAAACAATGAATGCTTTCTCCTTCCATTTCTTTAAGGAAATGGCGAAAATCCTCAATCATCCCCGAGTCTACGCATTCCTCCACATCCCCGTCCAGACTGCCTCTGACAGTGTGCTCATGGAAATGAAAAGAGAATACTGCGTGGCCGACTTCAAAAGAGTAGTGGATTTTCTGAAAGAGAAGTAAGTCTGCTAGTACTTAAGAAAATAACCATTTTTTTTTTCCTCTCGAAAGTGTGTGGCAACAATGCACTTACTGCCGCCTCACAATTAAAGGTATAACAGAGAAGGCGAGATTTTGGAAGCTTTCAAAGCCCTTCAGCTTCCTCGGGCACCCTTGATGTGGTTTCTTTCTCTTAGCTTATATCCTCCTCCATCTGTGCACTGCGGACCGTTCATTTGTGTAAGCTTGCAGCGCTTTCGAAGGTACTGTGAATTGTGATTATTTTTATACCTGATCTGTTAGATGAAAACTACTTTAAGTTTGGTCTGCTTTAAATCTCCTTTAATGTGGCTTTTTGAAGTTCTGAGCTGGTTTTGACATGGAGGTGGGGGCCAGGTCTTGTCACTACAAAATAGATAATTTTCCACTGATGAGCGTTTTTGCAGAGGATCGGGAATGTCTTTCCTTTTCACACACTAATCCCTGTAGTTTACTTGAACACTTGTGATTTACCAGGAGGCTTGAGGGTTCTATTTTTTTTCAAGTCCAAATCGCTATTGACCAAAATTAAGGCATATTTACAGAGTCTCAGGCATGAATGGTAATTTTGTTTCCACAGAAAACACTTGCAGCTCATAATTATGTTCTTCAAAATGCTACTCATCATCACCAAACAGGGGATGCCTCCTGTGATTACACAAGGCAGGAAGTGGAGATGCCAGCCAAGGTCACACAGACCCTCTCAAGTCTAGGCTATCGTTATCCCCTCTGGGAGTGTGTCATTCATCTTGGCATATTTGTGGCATGGGCCTTCCCACTTTCTATTATTTTTCCTCTGTTGTTTTCCTTGATTAAGATTTAACTTTTTGTTACCATCTTCTTGTTTATAATTATGTACCTTTGTACCGTGTCGAAGTATTACATGGATGTGATTGCTTTATATAAATTTGTAAGCAATTATTTTTTCCACCTTTAATTAGTCACTTATCCTGTGCATGCAATTGTTGTAAAATCTTTTTCTTCTCCTGTTTACTTTTTTCTTCTTTTCTCATCTTTTCTTTAATCTTTTTTTTTACCTCTGGGCATTTCTTGATTAATCTAACCACCAAGAATAAAGACACTTAGTGTGCGTTCAAACAAATACAGCTAATTGTTCAAATATTCAAATCAGTGAATAGAACATACAGTTATTCTGAGATTTCATAATTGCAATCATTAAGTATACACAGCCTTCAAAGTAGAAAGCAGAATAATAACAGATCTGTTCCAGCTCTAAGACTCTTGGATTTTGAGCAGAACCAGTGAAGGCATTTTTGTATTAAATGTCTTTTGCTGGCCTATATACCTTCCTTGCATTTATTCTAGCTTTTGTAGGTAAAGTTATATCACGTAAGAACTGTGTCTCTGGAGAAGGAAATGTTTCAAAATTGCAAATAAATTGTAAAACCTGGAAAATTTCTTCTCTTGCTTATTAAAGCAGTAGCAAATAATGCCCATACTTCAAGTTATGCAATATTTTGCCAAGTGCAGATGTACGTCATGTCATGCAGAATAGACAAGCACACTTTCCAGATTGTTGCAGTAGTGTGACTCCATGGGGTTAGGAATTAGCACCCCTCCTTTCTCCATTTGGGTGAGTGCTGACTTGGTTGTTTGCAGAATCACCTTGGCTGCCTTAACTGGGCAGGAGTTTCACAAATGCCAGTGTTGTGTTGTTCTGGACAGGGACCTCTTAAAACCTTTGCCTCTTGAACAATTTCAACCACCTTCATGAACTATGTCGATGTCAAACAATGGTCACATCAAACTACTAGAAAATAGTCTCTTGTCGTAATTTGTGGACTAAGCTCAGAGTCTTTGGATTCTGAGTTATGTAAGGCTTCTGTGTAGCTTTTCTAGAAGTATTTGACTAGCTGGAGATCCTAGAACCAAGTACTCTACCTAAAGGCCTCCTGTACCAGCAATACCAGAGATCTCAGGCGAAGATATAGGGAGTGCCCTGAGGAGACATTCCATCTCACACTCGTCTCTCCATAATTTGTTTGAAGTGCTGTGAACTCCTGGAATATAGAGTGTAACTGGCCAGTTAGCCGTTTTCAGGATTTTAAAATTAATGGTGCTATATGTGCAGCAAGGATAGAAGCAACCTGCTATCTAAGTTCACATTAATAGCTAAGATGTATTTGAAAAGTGTGGAAGGTGGCAACTGTGAGGTACCTGCTTTATGTAGCAGATAACTGAGAACATTTCAGGTGCCCTATTTATATCTCTAGGGTCACTTTGTTAACAGTGATCATTCAACTCCTGGATACTTCATCGGAGACATAAGATTATGTATTTAGTCCATCCTGTTGCTTGTGAGGACTAGTACAGCCCTACACCCATGAGGATGGTACAGTCCCGCTTTGCACTTCAGTGACAAAGAACCTCTCTGTCCTGTTGAGGAAGTCCATCCATCCAGTGGGTAACTTCCAACCATTATGGATGATTAGAAATACGTGAAATATTTTAAGGAGACTTTGGTTCTTTATTTTTGCGCTATAAAGACCAACTGAGCTTTATGCCAAATAGGTGAGTGCTTATTTTGAAAATGCCAAAGTTTCAGTGCTTTCTATAGGACCAGTAATCTGGTGAACTGATCTAGCATAAAATTGTTTGGTCAACTATTTATTAAAGGTCAATAAACAATTTCATTTTTGAGGGCTTTATACTAGTATGTTGCCCTGATTTATGCCCAACACCTATTCATAAAAGGATCCTAATCTGACATGATATGTTTGCTGATATTGTCTTACATTTGCTTTTTAAATCTTGTATGAATAGCCCTTTCCATTTGTATGTCATTTCTCATGAAGTCTTTGAAACCTTTTTGGGAGGAATAATCCTTTAACAAATATGAATTTTATGTATTTATTTTTCTTCCAGTCTGTGTGAAGCTTCTTAGATCTTCCTATTGTGAATGAGACATTTCCGGATCTGTTTCCTCAAAAAGCCAATCTTTTAAAGGATTTGTAGTATTTAAGCCTGAAATCCAAGCTATGGAAGTTTACCTGAAGCTAGAGGGGTGTTTGTTTTGTTTTGTTTTTTCTTTTCTTTTTTTTTTTTTTAGAGAGAAGGTCTCAGTATGTAATTCATACTCAGACTCACTGTGTAGTCCAGGCTGGCCTTGAACTCTCCTCGATCCCCCTGCCTCAGCCTACTGAGTGCTGGGATTACAGGCGTGCAGCACCATGCCAGCTGCGGGCTTTTAAATTACTAATTCAGTGGTATTTTTGGAGCTCTGCTTCTCAAACTGTGGAGGCGAAATCATTTTAATTAATTTTCTTTACAGTTGAAAGTGGCCCACATTTTAGCTTCGAGCAATGTAAGTTTACAAGTGAGCCAACTTGAAGCTGATTCATTATTCTCTTCGGTTGTTTGAAAGTTGGCAGCTAGTATCATAACAGCAGCTGGATTGAAGATAACCTAGTAGTGTTGGCACATGTAGAGGCATATGGGAATTTATTAAATCATGCAACCTTTGCAAGAAAGTGTCTAAATTACTTAATATACTAATTTAAAACAGCTGGTCATAAGCAGACACTCATATGACTTAAATTATTCTATTCAGGTTTATTAACCTAGTTGAAAATTAAGTAACTTGATGTTTTATTTAAGTGAGTATGATGATTTCTTAAAATATACAGTGGGATTTAGAGGGACATGGAAAAAAACTACACAGAACAAAGCAAGAGGTACAGTTCTGGTTTGAGAAAAACATTTTATAGTTTCCCATAAGTACCTCATAAATTTTTACTATCATTAATTGTCACATAATTGGTTTCACTATTGTGTTTTTAATATATTAATGGGATTTTTTAAAGTGTAAAACTTGAATGACTTTCTATCAGTCATTATCAGTTATTTTTTTACTCTATGTTGGATTCTCAGGCCTTGGGACCTTGGGCATGAATTGAATTGAGACCCGGTCATTAAATCAGCAGTGATTTTACATGATGACACCCCACCATTAACCATGTGTTAGCAAATGTTCAAAAACCAATATGCAGAGTTCCTCTCAACCATGTGTTCTAATACTGATTAAAACAATCTTAATCTGCAAATTTCATATTAAAGTATGAATCACATATCTGCAGATGTCTTGATATATTTTCAGAAATTAATAGTTTATATATTAAAAGACCTAGCAATGTAGACAAATTATATTTTGGAAGCCCAGTGGCTTTTTGATTTACATTGATTAGACATTAACTAGTTAACATTGCCTCTCTCCCTGATCCCCTTTCCTGTCTCTAAAAGTCTGCTTCCTGGTTGATTGTCATCTCTGTTTATTGTTTATTTACTAGGTTTGTCATATAATAAAAAACATGATTTCTAACGTCCTGAGTGGCTTATTTCACTTAATAATAGTTTCTAGTTCCATCCATGTTCCTACAAATAACATAATTTCACTCTTCTTTATGGCTGAGCAATATTCTACTGTGTATATAATTACATTTTCTTTATCCATTCATCTGTTGATAGATGTCTACACCATTTCCACAAACTTAGCTATTGTGAATTGCACACAAGTATCACTATAGTATGGAATATTCAGTTCTTTCAGGAATATACCCAGGAGTGGTATAGCTGAATCAAAAGATATTTCCATGTTTACTCTTTTTTTTTTTTTTTTTCCAGTACCAGGAATCGAACTCATGACCTCAGGCTTGTCAGGCAGGTGCTGTGCTTCTGAGCTAAATCCCCAGCCCCCGTCTGTGTTTACTCTTGAAGACTCTCTATACTTATTTCCATAGCTGCATCTTACATTTCCCCCAACAATGTATGAGAGCATCCATGTTGTGTCCCTATCTGCCCATGCCCAGCATCCTTACCAGCATCCACTGTTTTTATATTCTCAAAGCTAGCCGTTCTGGCTGGGGTGAGATGAAATCTTAGTGTAGTTTTAATTTGCATTTCTCTGATAATTAGAGATATTGAGCATTTTTCATATACTTTTTGGCCATTTGAACTTCTTTTG